ACACAGAGAGACAGAGACAGAGACAGACAGAGAGAGAGACAGACAGACAGAGAGAGAGAGAGACAGACAGAGAGAGAGAGACAGAGACAGACAGACAGATACACAGAGAGAGAGACAGACATGTGATTTATTTGTATCTTTGTTTCTAACAGTTCTGGTTGGATCCTTCAAAAACTCTTTTACAACATCGAGACCTCGGTGAGTTTCACAGCTGGCAGAATTAAAATATTTATTAAAGTACATTATATAGAATATGTCATAATTTGTTTGTTTTTTGTGAAATTCTCTTTCTTACTGATTTGTAAAGTTGGGCCACCATACATTTTCTACTTTGGTGTCAAATTTTATGCTGAGGATCCATCCAAACTGAAGGAGGAAACTACACGGTACCGTTATTAAAGTTATTAAAGTTATTAAAGTCTTTAAATGTTTTAATGTTTTCATATTTTCATATTTTCTCCTTATTTTAGAAATGTAGAAACCGTTAACTAATCTTGTGTCAAGTATTAATATTAAAATGTCAATATAATATCTTATCATGTCTTAAAACATTTTGTCTTTATTTCTTTTTGCTAAATGGATAAAGGTAATAAAGGTAACTCAGGTGTGTTCTTCAGGTATCAGTTTTACCTGCAGGTTTGTCAGGATGTCCGCAGAGGTCGTCTGCTGTGCCCACCCCACCTCAAACCTCGACTCTCTGCTCTGATGCTGCGGGGTGAAAAAGCTCTTTGATTATTGATCAATAAAATATGAATAGAATCTAATATTACGTAATATGTATGTGTTTTTATGCATACTATTTAAAACTGATTATTATTATTATGTTGTTAAATTGTGTTTTCCCGTCCAGCGGAGCGTGGTGACTACAGGGAGGATGAATCGATTGACTCTGAGGAAAATCAGGAAGTACAACAAATCTACAAAACACTGAGGTAGACAGGAAGTACAACAAATGCCCTTTCTAAATAAAGCAAGAGGAGGGAAAATTAATTACAAACTGTTTATGAAATGTAACTAATGGGATATTATTCTAACATCCTCTCTCTGTGTCTCACCATCCAGCAGTGTCTCTCATGCTCAGGCTCAGTGTCTCTTACTATCTCTCTGCAGCTCTCTGCAGATGTTCGGGGTCTCTCTGTTCGCCGCCTATGTACGATCAATACTATCAATACTATTAATACTTTTTCTTGTTCTTGACATGATTATAAACCCACTGTGATTTCTCAAATCTTAAACCGAAGATCACCAGTTTCTGTTCAATATTAGTAAAACATAAGGAAGTTAATATCACATTCAAAGTCTTTCTTTCAGATTATGTTTAATTATTTATCCATCTTCCGTCCCATGATTCCTTGCCAGGGTGAGAACCAAACTGAGTACTTTCTGGGTCCGACTCCAGCGGGTGTGGTCATCTACAAAAACAAAGTGCTAGTGGGAAAATATTTCTGGTAGGAGTGAGACCTCACAAACTATCTTTGCCCATCTGTCTTGTCCTTTTTGTTTCAGAGTGAGACCTCTTCACATTGATAGTCTTTGGTGGTGGTAAATATAAATGAATGTTTGTAAACATAAAACTGCAACAAATAAACAACTACAAATGATAATATGTAAGGTTATTAATGAATACATGTTTGTTGTGTCTGATAGTATGACTTATTTTCTCTAGGCAGAGAATCTCCAAACTTCATTTTAAAGGCAAGACCTTTGAGCTCAGAGTCGTTGCGAAAAAAGTGAGTTCCTATTGGCTGCTGGATGCTAATGCTAATAATCATTCTGTTAGTAAATTTAGGTAAAATCATAATCATACAAACATACTGCATACATTAACATACATACTGCATACATTAACATACATACTACATACATTAACATACATACTACATACATTAACATACATACTGCATACGTTAACATACATACTACAGACATACTACAGACATACTACAGACATACTACAGACATACTACAGACATACTACGTACATTAACATACATATTGCATACATTAACATACATACGGCATACATTAACATACATACTGCATACGTTAACATAAATTCTGCATGCTACTATATACTTAAAGTATATAGTAGCAAAACTGAGAAACAAATAATAACACATAACATGAACAGAGCACTGATGACCTCCACCACAGGTTTTTGCTAAAGTTAACCATAATGCTAATGCTAACATGAAATAAGAGAATCTGTAAAAATGGAAATAAAACATTTAATTTAATAATTACAGAAAATTTAAAGGAAATTTAAAATGTGGATTTATTGTTTGTTTCAGGGTTCAGAGACGTCCTTCTTCTTTCAGACATCAGATCAAGCCGACTGTAAACGTCTGTGGAGGTGTTGTGTGGAGCATCACGCCTTCTTCAGGTACACTCACACATACACACACACACACTCAAACACACACACACACACTCACACACTGGAAGGACTCATTTATTTATTTATTGTGTTCAGGATGTCAGAGTCGATTCCATTAAGATGCAAACTGAAACACAACAGGTAAACACACACACACACACACACACACACACAATTTTCATTGCTTACCTTTTTGTTTTGTAAAAAATGACAATTATTCACTTGTTATTGTTTATAAAATATCTTTAACATGACTCCAGAAGGAATCTCTCTTTCTCTCTCTCTCTCTCTCTGTAATGTGTAGTATTGCTCGTTTGCCCACTCTGGCTATTCCTTGGCTGAACGTTGGAGTGCTGAGACACAAAACAATAAACAACAAAACAACAGATCTCTGTGTGAGACCAAAACATCACAGTATGCACCCTTAGACCTTTTCTTCTCCTATTATTATTATTATTATTGTTATTATCATTATTATTATTATTATTCAGTAGATGAAAACAATAACCTAAAATATGTGTGTCAGCATCAGATGCTGCATTCAGTCCCGGTCTGGAACCACAACTTGTTCTGCTCCTTTTATTTTACTGCTTATATTTTATAACAAATGTTCTATTTTAATTTGACTGGTTATTTAGTTCAAATATTTCCTGTCGATTATTCCTTTTGAAGTTTATTAGTTTTGAATGTCTCCCTTCGTCCAGCCAGTCAGACAGCCGGTGTCAGCAAGGAACCAGTGACGATGCATACAGCGCCACCTGCTGTTCAGAGGTGAGAGCCCAAAAGAGGAGAGGGAGGCTCTCAAGGTTACGCTAGCTGGCTAGCTAACCGTTGGTCAGCTGGGACCCCCCAGCCACGGTTTTAAGCCGATCTTAGTTCTAGGCCACCAACTGTGCCGAAGCACAAGGAACTGATTGCAGATTCGGCACCGGCTCGAAACCGGAATTGTTTACAAACAACAATAACAAATAAAGCTGCAAGCAGCGATGAACGGACCTCGCACTCCACGCAACTCGGGGTGTGCTGCGGCTGCGTCACGTGCAGGCATAACACGTGTGGACCAAAACATGAAAATTTCACGTAAATCAGATCAAAATTGCCACGCAGCGCTTACTTCCTGTTGCCAGTAGGTGGCGCTATCACTATATCTGAATATTGTCATGTATACGTAT